CTAGTTAAATTCGAAATAAAAATTATTTTTATATATTAAGTAATATTAAATCTAATTATAATATTACTTATAAATACCTTAATCTTAAAGAAAATAATATAAATAATATATTAGAATTTAAAGAATTAGATAAGGCTTATATTAATAAATTATTAAGAAAAACTAGATATTTAAGAAAAGTTATTAATATCTTTTTAGATAATAATCTAAATTATATAAAGTATAATTCTAATAAAGAATTAGCTTGTTTTTTATATTTAATAGAATTAGAAAAACTAAATAATTAAGTCTTATTAAAAGAGAATTTTTTAAAAAAAAATTAATTTAGAATTAATTAATTTAAAAAATAAATTAAAGAATTTAAATAATATCTACTTAAATTATTTATTAATAGGCAATTATAAAGAGTCTATTAAATATAATACTAATACTTATAATAATAATAATATAGAAATATTTAATAGTTTTTTTTTAAATAAGTTATATATTAATTTAAAAAATTATATTATTAAGAAAAGCTTATTAAAACCTAATAATAGCTATTATATTTCTTTTTTTCTTTCTAGACTATATTCTAGATTAAAGAAAGAAGCTAATAATAATAAATATCTATATTTTAATTTAATTCTTATTATTATTAGTTTATTAATAATAAGAATAGAAAAAGAAAAATTAAAAGCTCTTTATAATAACTCTATTATAGAAAGCTTAATATTAAATTATTTCAGTTTATTAGACTTATATAAATTACTAATTACTTCTAGTATTATATATAAAACAAATTATTCCCATATTATAAATATAATTAATAATATAAATATTAATAATATTTTAGAAAAAAGTAAAAAAGAAAATAATAAAATTAATAGTAATAAAAGACCGAGAACTCCGCCTAATATTATATCTAATTTAGTTCTTTTTTCTAATTCTAGAAATAAGAAAAAGTAATTATTTATTAAATACTTTATTAATTATTATAAAATAAATATCTAATATCTTCGGGCTATTATTTTATATATTTAAACTAGTTCTAAGGTCTTTAAATTCTATTTTATTATAATAAAGAACTATAAATTTATAAGTATTTAAATTCTAGAAATAAAAGAAAACAAATAATTAAAAATTAATCTTAATATAAAAATCTTCTTAGATATAATTCTAATATTATTTAATTTAATATAAATATATAATAATTATATATTTTAAAATATCTAAATCTTAGATTTAGAATTAATTTTCTTTTATTATTAGCTTAAATAAATAGTTAATTTTAATAATAAATATATTTTTATAAATCTTAGAACTACTAGAATATCTTTTTTTCTCAAGTTATATAACCTTAATATTAAAATATTATAAATATAATTAAGACTATTTCTGACCTGTATTTCTTTATAGTCTAGTAATTTAAAGTATATTTCTTTAGAATTCAGAAATCTATTAAACTAACTCTTTAGCTACCTTAGATCCTCCTAACCACGTGACCTCGCTTAATTAACCATGCCAAAATCCCCGAAATCCCCGAAATCCAAGTATAGGTATTCTAAGAAGCTTTTATTTCTCTCTAAATATAGCTTCTATTTATATTAAAAAAACAAATTATTAATAATTTAATTAGGTCTATAACTTCTTACTAGCTTATAAAGCAAAAGTATAATATAGCTTTTAAAGATAAAGTTAATTATTAAATTTTATATAAGATATTTAAAAGTAACTAATAACTATTATATAATTATTAATTATTAGCTAATTAAATAATTAGAAAAGAATAAAAAGCTTAAGGCTGAAATCGAAGCCCTTAAAGCTATTTAAGCCCTTAATCTTACTAATAGCCTGGCTATTAATAAGGATATAGTTCTTAAGAAGGTTTTTAAAGGAAATTTTAAAGGGAATTTCGAAGGGAATTTCGGAGAAAATCTCGGAGGGAATTTTAAAGAGGGCTTTAAAGAGAACTTCGAAACCTATAATATTAATAACTACCTTTCCTTTAACTAAATAAAATCTTAAAGATATAATATTATATCTTTTTAGTTAATTAATTTATTAAATCTTTTAAAGATAAAATATTAATCTTTTATTTCTATTTTATTTATTAATATTATATATATAAGAGATATTTTCTAAACTTATATATATAAAAGATATATATTATTATAATTAGTATTAATAGAATTATACTTATTATTCTAATATATAGATTTTTTTAATTTTTGAAGTTCTGATTTAATTTCTTTAAGTACTACTTATAAGTAAGACTAGCCAAATTTATTTTAAGATCTTAAGTAAGTCTTTCCTAACTTTTAGTTCTATTAACTTAATTGTAATAAAAAGCTTATTTTTGGAATCCTTAGGTATAATATAATATATATAAGTCTTAGTTTTATTATATTTAATATTATAACTAAGGTTTTACTAAGGAATCTAAGATTTTCCTTTATTTTAATTAAGTTAAAATTAATAGAAAAGATATTACTAATCCGAACTTAATAAAAGGTTTATTTTTGGAAACTCTATATATAATATACTATATATAAGCTTTAGCCTTATTATATTCTATATTATAATTAAGATTCTATTAAAGAACCTAAGATTTCGCTTAGTTTTATTAGATTAAAATTAGTTAAAAAGATATTACTAATCCGAACTTAATAAAAATCTTATATTTGGATTTCCTAAATATAATATATTATATATAGGCCTTAGCTTTATTATATTTAATATTATAATTATAATTTTATTAAAGAATCTAAGATTTTCTTTTATTTTAATTCTTTTAAAATTAATTAAAAAGAAAGTAGTAGTCCGATTCTTATATAAAGTACCTTATTTAATAGCCCTTTTCCTATAATTTATAGAAGTAGTACTTCTATTATAGTTTACCTAAAACTTCTAATATATAAATTAAGCTTTTAATCTTAGTTTAAAATATAAGTATTTTTATTTAAATACTTAGACTTATTATTAATAGAATTAGCTAAAAATCTATATATGACTAGTTTTATATATTGTAAACCTAAATATAATATAAAACCTATTTGGAAAGGTTCTAGTTATTAAGCTATTAGGTTTAAGCTTAAAAATCTTAGAAAAATCAAACTAAAATTTCTTTTACTATATTATAAATCTATTTTTAGACTTTTTAGCCGCTAGTCTAGCTTTATACTATTATAAGAGCTTATATTTAAATTTTGGGCCTTTTATATAAGAAATAGCCTAAGTTAAAAATTATTTGTGTATTTAGCTACTTTCTAGCTTTACTTATTAATAACCTAGCTTATATAAGGCCGATTCTTATAAAAAGTGGGTCCAAAAATCGGCCAAAATTAGGAGATTCGATATATAAAATTTTCTATTAAGTTTATTAATACTTTTAGAGGGTACCATACGACTTTCGAATTCCTTGGTACTCTCCTAATAAAAAGTTATGGTACTCTCAGAGAGTACCATAGCGGGGTAGTATAGACTCAAGGGGGAGACCCCCTTAGACCCCCCTTTGCAGGAGTATAGTTTGAGGGCAGGACAGACCGTAGCAGGGAAGAGCATAGCCTGCGCCTTATTCGTATTCTTATAGGGGCAAGGTACTAATTTATAGGGTAAGTAAAGCCCTGAAAGTTTGCGACCGGCAGATTATTATACGATATTTGAAAATTAAAATAAGTAAATAATAACTTAAACTTAGGCCAGGCTTATTACTAAAAAAAGAATATTTAATATATATTTGAATTCTGTTTTATTTAATTAGAACTTTAATTATAATTAATTAAAGCAATAATAAAATTAATTAAAGGAATAATAAAGGTAGGAGAAAGGCGAATGCGAGGGGCAAGGAATTTTGATAGGGTAAACTCGCTTAAATTATAATAACTAACTCTAAGCTTATTGGCCGAAATTCTCTATACGGGCCTTTCTTGTCAAAAACTTGTCAAAAATCCTAACTCTAATACAATATTTGCCCTTCTATTAGATAATAAGGTAGTACTAGAGCGGGAGCGGGCGGGAGCTTTACCTAATATAGCTAGCTACTTACGTGTAAACTACATATAAAATCACGTGTATACTACTCAAAGTATTCATGAATATTTATAAATACCTTGATTAGAATATAAATAGAATATGAGTAGCGGGTAAATTTTAATAAATAGAATAGAGTAGTGGCCACTAGTCTATTCTATTCAATTCATTTAGCACACTGCCCCCACCTAATGTCACATCCCTCCACCGTTTGAACCAATCGCGGGAATAATTACAAGGGGAAGGATTCAAGACCGCGTGGAAGCCTTGGCAATGAACGCCCATGCTAGGACTCAATTTGGGCAATTGCGACCCGGTGTGTTTAACCAGCGTCGCATGCTCTTAACTTTGCCAAATGCCAGTAGCCAAATTTTCCATCCTGCGCCTATCTTGATGCCATTCTATGGGGGCGCAATGCATTTCTGAATCCGGATTCACCGATGGTGACTGAAGAACAAATGGGGCGCCGGGATAACCACGTGGCGTTCCCATTCCACTTTGGGCACACCGAGATCCCTCACCGATTTCGCGATCCAATCAATAGCATCAGGATTACTTGCTTAATCTTCCCCTCTCCTTCAACTTTTCCGGCATAAATTCATACCATCTCCTGATTCTACACCATCTCATGTGAATAGTGAACGCCATCTCTTCAATTTCTCAGGGTGTGTTATTCGTTCTATGTATTCAGAACAACCTCGATATATCGCCGTAGCTAAGGGTTACCGCGTCTAGACAACACCCGAGCTCCCGCCGCTTGGTGCCTACCTTCACGTAGACGGATACAGACATCAGCGGGGTCATGGATAGCGAATTTCTCAATGACTTGTTCTCTGAGCAGAGCAATGTTCTCGATCCCAACAGCCTCTCTGGCTCAGGCTCAAAATCTTACGACAGCTTTGGACCAAACCGCGACCAGTATCAGGGTAAGGACCTTGACTGTGGGGCAATCATCGATGGCAATCCACTCAACTGTCCATTAAGCTGGCACGAATCCATAATCAGCTCCCATGTCGAGCCTACCATAGCTGATGGTTGGCCATTTTACACCGCGGTACAAAGCAATCCTTCACTAACCCACTTCGACACCAATCACCAACTTCCATTTTTCCTACACTCAGAGGTAGATTCTGACCTTAGCTTGTTCGATCTTCCAAACACTCTGGAGCAAATCAGTCATGTTCAGAACGATAACTTCTTTCTCGGCTCCTCATCGATATCGATGGTTGAAGATACTTCTCTAGATCCCTTCGGATCACTCTTCGCAGACTCGCCTTCAGATGGGCATTGCAATAACCAAGTCATCGGCGCGCCAAAATCTAGCGAGTCATCAGTAAATAGCAATATCGGAGCTAGTAGGAGACACTTCTCTGAACATCTACCAACCAAACTCTATCCAGAACTCGACGGCATAGAACATTCTTTGGATTCTCGTCCACAGCAGAGCCATGAGTCTCAAAACAAATTGCAAAGCTCTGGCCGAACTGGGTCAACTTCTGGATATATCATTATCTCCGAGCGACTAGGCATTTCTGGAACTGTCTTGGAACCACGCCCCTTCCTCCCTCCTCCCGAGCAGTTGATGACGACCTTTGAAAGTAAATACCCAAAGACAACAGTATCGAAGGGTAAGAAAGCTTATACCGTGGAAGGGAGGAAGAAAGTCGGCCAAGTAAGAAAGATAGGAGCATGCTGGCAATGTCAGATACGTAAGATTGCGGTACGTTTTGTACTTCCTGACCGGTTCGTTTGCTAATGGGAGAGCCGCAGTGTTCTGTGGACAAAATATGTAAACGCTGTCAGAAGATGGCCAGCACTCCTACGTTAGCAAAACAAATCTGCCTCAGACAGAGATTCATGGATATATATCTCTCCCATTCAAGTAATTATTTGAACTCAAACTGATACTAGCGAGACACTAACTAGCAGGCATATACGAGATGATTATCCAGTCACAGGAACGCAATATCGTGTCGATCAGATTTCGCCCTCGCATCACGGAACAAGTTTCTCTCAGATCGGAAGCCATGGCTGAAGATTGCCCCACCCTCACTCTCAGCGTCATCACTTACGAACGCATCTCCCCAGATCCAGGACTCTCTGGATCATACAGTAGACCATTCTTGCCGGATGAATTTCCTACCCACGCTCCCACTGGGACCCCTTATAAACACATATACCCAAACTCAGGACTATCTGGATCATACACAAGACCAGTATCCTGGCATTCCCTATCAGCGGACTCTCAAGCAATGATCCGTCGAGCGATGCTCCCAGATTCTGTCCCTAGTGTTGAACAGTTAGAGAATATGTCCAAGCCAGGTACTTGCAAAGTACACGACCCATTCCTTAACCACGATCTGCATGACAGAATTGATGATATACTGCTTTTATTCTCTAATCAAGGTCGTCACCAGCCACTGGTAAGACTTCTTCCGCAGAAAAGCTCCCTTAATAACTAATTGATTAGCATGAGCTAGTGGCCGCCACCTTAAGAATAGTAAACCTGCGGAGTTTCCTAATGTACTCGCTCGTATATACCCACAACTCTTTCTATGCAGACCCAGTGCTCAACCAGAACATTAGGGCCGTTGCACTTGCTGGGATATCCAAAGCCGAGAGACTTATCATCTCCCAATTCAACGACCTCTCTCGCCTGGTTAGCCTCGAAAGCTTTAGCATGATAATAGCGAAAATTTGTTTACTTAGATTATTGCTTATTTACCGGAATGATGTTTTGTTATGTGCGAGAAGCGTGAAATTTCCAGTAAGATCTCGAGGTAAGATGAGAATAGCGCATTATGTGTGAGATTCTTCTGGGATCATGTTTACTGATAATGGCTGGCAGGGATTTTTGTAACAAGGCTAGAGAAAGTCAAGTTCATGTATCGAGTAGCTGCCACTACTTTCGGCATACTATGCGAGAGGGCACCCTCGTTTGCGCTTTGTGAGTGGAGCGACAATGTACAGCAAAATGATCTCGCCCAAAGCGATGCTGCACTATTGGCAACTGCAATTAAGGAGCTAGGTGCTGGGTATACAAATTTCTGTAAGCATCGTTCTTTGATAGTTCTCACCACCTTCCTTACGAGCTTTCTAACCCTGACCAGGCGAACAAGAGCTGTCACAAGAACACGACGAAGTTCTCCTCCTTTTTATTAAGAGGAGTGCGAGAAAATGAGGAAAGGAGACCTTGGAATAGGATACTCTCGGGAACGGCGCGAAAGAGTCACAAGGAAGCACGTGATTTATTGATTTCTTTTTAAAGTTCGTATGAAGGGTTTGCGTTCAAGTGGCTGAAGGACAATCAACGTGACAATGAAACGGTGGGTTGCGTCTTATTAGACTCTGAAACGAATAAGAGTTGTTGCCACAGAGTTTCCAATGCTTGCTATTCCAAGTATGGCAGCGCCGAACCCAATAGCGTTCTCGACTTCGAACATTTTAAGCGGGCAGTCTTTAATGTGAGAGGCATGGCAGCCCACACCTCATAACTGACCATATACTGGGCTCTGTCACTGTATCCCGTGAGTACCCCAGCCCGGTGTCTCTGTGTCCTATAGAGATTTGAAGGGGTATAAAAGATCGTGAGAAAACAATTGTATCTAATAGGTGCGAATATTAACTGTAACTGATTTATATTAATGTCGAGATAAAGAAATCTGAGCTATAGCAATATATAAAACCATTACAAAAAGCGAATTTTAAGCAAGAGTATAAAAAGGCTCGGAATACTAAAATAACTAAAACTACTTCTTATAATTACTCAAGTAAAACACTTGTAATTAAAGCCGAACTAGGCTTAAATTAAAGGAGATATTAGGGGCTTTCTCTAAAGTAAAGAGTTTATTTATTAAAAGTATAATTATTATATAATTAAAAAAGAAATACTTTTTAATATAAAAGTTTAATAATTTACTAATTATATCACGAATTCTTTCTTTAATAAATAGATCTTTTCTTAAAAGAAAAAAAAATTTATATAATTAATTTAAAATATAATTATTAAATTATTAAAAAAATAAAAATAAAAAATTTATAATTATATATAAAGCTTAAAAATTAAGAAATAAGATTTAGTATATAAGGTTAGAAATTCATAATTTTATTATAATTTAAATAACTTTAAGAATTATAATTTTAAAATAAGCCTTATATAATTGAAATTAATTAATTTAATACTTTCTTTATTTTCTTAATAAAGTTAAGAATTTAATTAATAAAAAGTTATATAATTAAGAGAAATTAAGATTATAATTTTGTAACTTTAATATTCTTTTACTTTTATTAAAAATATAATTCTAATAATTATTTAATATATTATAATTTATATATTAAAAGTTTATATTTTTATTAAAAAAGTTATTATTATTATATAATATATATTAATAAATCTCTATTAATAAAGCTTTAGGTTTTAGTTTATAAAAGAGATTTTCTTTTAAATATCTTAAAGATTTACTTTATATAAAATTAGAGAATTCGAATTTATTATTTATATTACTAATAACTAGATATAATATTAAAGGTTATTTAAGATTAAAAGCTCGAAGTTATTATTTATATTACTAATAACTAGCTATAATATTAAAGATTACTATATTTATATTATTAATAAAACTTTTTTTTTTTTTAAAAATTATAAGAAATATTATATATAAGCTTATTACTTTTATTAATATTTCCTAAAGTTTACTTATAGCCTATTATTATCTAATATAAGTATATTATTACTAATTTATAATTATTTAAGTTTATATTTCAATAATAATAATTATTACTTCTTAATATATAGCTTATAAAAATAGAAATATTATTTAATACTATTTATAATTATATTCGAGAGTTAATTAAAAGAAGTAATATTTTTAATTGGCTAATAAAAGAAAAAGTATTAATTATTTAATTTTAGTATTTATTATTATTATATCTAATATTTTGTTTATTAATTTATTTTCTTTAAATATGGAATTATATGTCTTTATATATACTAAAATTAACTAGAATTTATTTAAAGTTCTATATTTTCTATAATAATATATTTTTTTATAAAATTACTAAAATTACTATTTCTCTAATATATTGGAATTTATTTATTTCTATTTAGGTTTTTTTTTTTTATAGTTATATATTTCTTTAGAAAACTTTTTTATTTTTTCTATAATTTTTATATTTTATTTTTTAATTAGAAATTCTTATTATAAAGTTATATATATTCTTATTTTATATAATTATTATTTTATTTATTATAATTATAATAATAAAATAAAGAATTAAAACTATTTTTATTTTTTATTAATTATTAGAATTAGAAATTCGAATTTCTTATATATATTATTAATAACTAATATAAAAAAGAAACTATAATAAAATAAAAACTTATATAAAATATATTAAAATATAAAGCGTAATTTAATAATAATATAATAGAAATAAAAATAGAAATAATATATAATATATAAAAGCTTAATCTTTTAAATATAAAAAAGAAATTATTATTTAGAACTATAGAAAAGCTAGCTTTTTTATATAATTCTTGCAAGTTATATATAAAAGATTCTAGTTTTTATTATATAACTAAAACCTTAAAACTATTAAAATAAAGTAATTTTAATAAAATATAATTTATTATATTATATTAGTTATAATATTAAAAGTTATTATATTTATATTATTAATAAAATTTTACTTTTTTCTTTAAATAATAAGAAATATCTTATATAAATTTATTACTTTTTTTAATATTTCTTAAAGTTTATTTATAGTCTATTATTATTTAATATAAATATAATATTATTAGCTTATTTCTTTATTTAGTAAATTATTACTATATTAGTAGCTATATATAAATATTTTTAATTTAGCTATAATATAATCTAAATTAAAGATATTTAGATATAATTATTAATATTATAATAGGGATTTTATTTTTATTAATTATATAATATAATTATATAATCTCTAAATATTTATAATTTATAACTTATTTATATATTATTTTTCTTTTCTTTTTAGTTTAGAAATAAATAAATTTTTATTTCTTAATTCTAGTTTTTATATATTATAATTTCATATTATAGAAGCCTATTTTATATTTTATATTATTCCGTATTTTATATTTCTATTATATTAGTAATTTAAGGAAAATTATATTCTAGAGCTTTATTATTATATATCTTTCTTATAATTATAGAATTATAATTATAATTATATTTCTATATTTTAATTATATTATTTATATAATAGTAATAATATTTCTATTTAGTTTAAAACTTTCTTTTATTAGTTCTTTTATAACTACTTTTAAGTATATTAAGCTTTATAAGCCTATATTTTATAAGTTTATAAATTATAGGACATTTTACTAATAAATAATTATTAAAGAAATAATTAAACTTTTTATATAATATAATAAATATTTAAATTAAATAGTAATAATATTATTTAGGTTCTTTTTTACTAAATCTATTTAGTTTAAAAAAAAAGAAATATATTATTATTTAATTAATTTTATATAAAGTAACTAACTTTATTTTTATAAGGCCTAAAAAGCCTTATTTAAATACTTATAATCTATAAACTTATAAGATATAAGCTTATTAGCTAATATTATAAATACTATAATTTTATTTTCTGCTTTTTTATTTTCTTTTATTAAGTATTATAATTCAGGCTTTAATTATATTATTTATATAATAGTAATAATATTTCTATTTAGTTTAAAACTCTTTCTTTTAGTTACTTTTAATTACTTTATAATTACTTTATATTTGCTTTAATTCTTACTAATTCTATTAGCTATATAGTTTTTTTTATTTCTTTATTATTTTTTACTAAACTTTATAATTTAGTTCTAATTATATTAGTTTTATATAATAATAATATCTTTTATTAGTTTAAAACTCTTTTTTTATAACTAAATTACTATTATTTTATATTTATTTTAATTTCTATTAATTTTACTAATTATATAATATTAATTGTTTTTTTCTTTAATTCTCTTTTATTTATAAAGCTAAATACTTTATAATTCTCTTATATTTACTTTTAATATATTAATAAGCTTATATAATATAGAAATTCTTTTAATTCCGATATTTAAAGTTTGCTTTCTTATTATAAAGAGCTATTTTAATAAGAGCTTAATTATATATATTTTGAAATTATATCTTTCATAATTTTTTTTTCTCTTTTATAATTCATATTTAATTAGCTATTATAAAAGAAAAACTATAATAAGACAAAAACCTATATAAAATATATTAGAATATAAAACATAACTTAATAATAAAATAATAAATTAAAAGTATAGATAGTAAAATATAAATAATATATAATATATAAAAGCTTAATTAATTAAATATTTATAAAAAATTATTTTCTAAATTTATAAAAAAACTAGCTTTCTTATATAATTTCTATAAGTTATATATAAAAGACTATAGTTTTTATTATATAATCTAAATCTCAAAACTACTAAAATAATATAATTTTTAATAAATATAGTCTACTATATTATATCCGATTTCCTATTTATTTATATTTATTTCCTAAGTACTAAAAATAATAGAAAAATCCTATTTAGAATCTAAAATAATAAAATATTTAGAATTCTTCTTTATTAGTTAATTTAATTTCTTTTCTATATACCTAAAATAAGACTTATTACTCTTAAATAATCTTATTTTATATTTCTAAACTTACTTAAAAGTAATTCAAACCCGCTTAGCTATATTTTTATACTAAATCTAATATAATTCTTTATATTAATTAGTATTTACCTTTAATTATTACTTAATTTCTGCCTTTATTATAGGGTATTAAAAAGGCTTATTATAGCGAATTATATTTTAAATTATACTAATATATTTCAAATAAATAACTTCTTTAAATTTCGTATTATCTATTATATTCTTAAATTAACTTTTAATAAAAAAGAAAAGCTTTAGATAAAAGGCTTTAATAATCTTATAAGAAATTCTATTTTTATATATTCTATTCTTAATAGTAACTAGATTTATTAGAACTATAATAAAAGGCCTATTAAATAATAAATTATTATTAAGCTATTTTTTAACTTATATATTATTCGAGAATTAATACTTTTTTATAATTTCAGATTTATAAATTATCTAATTAAAGGCATTTATTTATCTAGTTAAATAAACTATATTTAGAGTCTTTTCTTTTATTATCTTTAGTAAATATTTACTTATTTCTTTAGCTACTTCTGGCTCAAATTTATTAGAAATAAAGAAATA